CGGGGGTGCGGTGGAGTTTTCTCTTGGCTCGCGGCAGCATCCACATTTGGAAAACTGCAGAGCCAGCAGCCGGCAGGGCCGGGAGGGCGCGTCCAGCTGGGAGGCAGGAACTTTGACTTGCGGGCATTTTGCAAGAAAGCAGCCACCCCCCACGCGGGCAGCGGATGGCACGGGGGCTTCGGGGCTGGGTGGGGGGCGCGATTCACCTGCCGCTTTGCAACAAAGCCCCGGCAGCCGGGCATGGGGCTAAACTTACCTTGAACTTGCGGTACCCCCCACTGAGGAGCTGGTGGGGGGCGGGGATTCCCGAGCTGAGCGGCGGGCGAGGCTGCCCCTGGTCGGACTCGGCACTTCTGCAGCTCGCCCAGCCACGTCAGGGTCAGGAGGCGTTTACAGGGGCAGGGCGCGGGGGGAGGGGGGCACACGTGGGCGGAGACTAGGGGGGCTTTGGGGAGAGCAGCCCTGGTGGTCTGCGTCTGTGCGGGTCCCTGCTGAGGAGCTTGACTTCCGCGTGGCCTCCCGGGGCTGATGCTGGGGGCCGGGTGGCATTCACCTCTGAAGAGCCCCGGGACGAGGCCCCGGGCACCAGGAGCCAGCTCGGTTCACGGTGGGGTCTGCCTGGAGGCGGCTGGGTGCTCTTTTTCTATCCAGATGGGAAACTTTTTGAAAAGTGACTACAATTCATTTGTGAGTGGGCAGAAGTCGTGTGGGCTCTGGCTGGGTCTGGGGTGACTCTCCTGCCCTTTGGGACTCCCAACTTTCCCCTTGACCCCCAGACCCCATCCAAATGAATGCCTCAGCAGTGGGGAGGACTTGAGCCAGGCTGCAGGAGTGTCCCAGGCTCTGAGGGCTCGTGTGCCAGGGAGCCGGGGACGTTGAGGAGGCCTCTTCCCTGGACTCCGAGCCCAGTTATTGCGGAGGCCTTGGGAGGGCACAGATGAGCGGTGGAACCCGGGTGCCCCCGAAGTTGAAGCTCAGGCTGCCCTTTTTGTATCCTTGGCTATGTGAAAATGATAAATCACAGCAGCTACATGGAAATGGGACATCAGCTTCTGCTTCTTTCTGCCATTTGCTCTTTCCTCTGTAGAGGGGATGCCAGAGCCTTAAGCACAACCCCCATCCCCCACCCCCACGTGAAACTCCAACCCAGCCATGCCTGGCTGCAGACCCACAGCCACACAGCCACAGCATGCTCAGTGGCCTCTGCACACTGCAGGCTCTGCGGAGACGTTGCCCTGCCCTGGGTGGTAGAAGAGAACCAATTCGCTCAGGGCTGTCCCCTCGCAGGGACGGGCTGCCTGGAGGAGCAACAGTCATGCTGGACCTCTCTCCCTGACGAGGACAATGGGAGGTCCTTTCATGTCCCGGAGCTGCTGTCCCAACCCACGCCAGGGTCAGCGCCAGGACAGGGGCCAGGGCCCAGCTGGGCCCCGCCACTCAGCAAGTCCCCTGTGTCTGTGCCCGGCCTGCACCCCCCACTGGCGCCTCCCTGGCCCCCATCCCCACCAGGCACCTGCAAAGCCTTCTTTCCACCTCTCACCACCTCATGTGCCAGGCTCGCCCTGGGCCACTGTGAGGCCTGGAAACCCTGCAGGCCTCTTCCTCCTCCTCCTCCTCCTCCTCCTCCTCCTTTTCCTCCTCCTCCTTTTCCTCCTCCTCTCCCTGCTCCCAGCAGGTTAGGGATGGCTTTCCTTCCTGCTGGTGAGGGCCTAACCTTGAGGTCCCATTGGTCTCCTTCAGGTTCTTCCTCCACATTTTTCAGACTCTGGCTTCACAGCTGGTCATAGAAGTTGGCAGGGAAGGAGGGAGCCTCTGCTTCCCACTCAGAGACATTTTTAAACGCAATGAAAAACATATCGATACAATTAAGTATTCCAAAGTGCTTAGTTTGCCACTTGCTAAGTTTACTTAAACCCTCTTTAACAGGCTCATTAGGAGCTGGTGAGCACCGGGAAATTCATTAACAGGAAGGCGGCCCCCCGCATTTGACTGTAAATTGGTATTGATCAGGGGCTGGTAGGGGCTGGTGGAGGCTGGGCGGCCGGCCACAAGGAGCCAGGTGTGGGACCAGCCTCCCGGGGGTGCCACAGCAGTGGTGCTGGGCAGGTGACGGTAGCTGCTGACCCCCGGTGCCCGTGTGAGCTGCTGGCTCTGCGCAGCTGCCGCTTCAGGTGGGCCGCACTGCGCGGCGGTTTGGGGTGGTGACGCTGCGAGGCGGGGGCAGGGGAGAGGGTGAAGAAGAGCAAGAGAAGGAGCGAGAGAACCGGGGGAGAGACGCTCCCTCGCCCACTGGGTGCCTGCTGTGGCCAGGCTGAGGCACCTAGGGAGTTGCACCCCTAGTGGACGGCCTCTCAGGAGATCCCGGCCACTCTCTGGGAACCTGGAATCCTCCAAGCATCGTCTTTCTCGCTCACATCTTCAGAGAGAGGTACTGAGCCCTCTCTCAGGGACACAGCATCCCGGGAGGCAGCCTTCACCAGGGACCTGCCCAGGAAACCGCCAGCTGCCCAGGTAAGGCCCCAGGGCACCTCTCGGGTCTCTGGTTTGTAGTCCCTCGTCTGGCCTTGGGAGCAAGGAGTTGTCCAGCTCCCAGAGAAGGAGGAGGCTGGTCCTGTGAGTGGGGTGCTGGGCGGGGTGCCCCCTCTCTGGGCCTGGCTGGGACAAGGGGGCCCAGGGGGACAGGAAGGTGCTGGCTTTGAAAGTTCGGGACATGGATGGTGCCTCCCTGCTCCGGGGTGAGGGTGGAGGAGCAGCCTGTTTCTTCCATGGATGCAAAACCGAGCTACTGCTGGGGCCAGGGACAGGCGCTCGAGACTTTCTGGGGCTCACTGTCCACTTCTGCCTTTCTGGATCGTGCGAGTGTGTGAGACAGACAGAGAGAGAGATGGATTCAGGGATGGAGGGGCGCCGAGGTCAGAAGGGAGCAGGAAGCCCTGGGCCCCTGGGGGTGGCTGGACACCAGGCAGCAGTGGCAGGAAGGCTGTCCTGCTCACAGAGAGGGCGCCAGCAGTGGATGCCAGGGAAGAAGTTCCACTGCCTCTGAGCTGCCTTCTCTACATCGCAGTGGGGTCAGCTTCTACCCGGGCGGCGTCCCGAGGTCTTGGAACTACATACTGACTGCCTGCTTGGGAAACATACTTCTTTATATGCCCATATGGACCTGCTAAGCTATGGAATGTAAAGAAGTATGTATCTCAGGCCGGGAACTCTCTCGCCGCACTGAGGGGCACTCCACGCCACGGGGGCCGCTGGGGCCGACAGCCAGCCAGGCGGCTGTGGCGGGGGTGAGCCCGGGGCGGCAGGCTGCCTGGGCGTTGGTGGATGGTCATGTCCCCGCCAGCATTGTTCTGTCACTTTGCCTATGTCAGCAGGTGGAAGTGCTCACCAGACATTAAATATTCAGCTTGCTGACTGCGGCAGAGGGGAGGCGGCCTCCAGCAGGCATGGGGTCCGACGCGGGGCTGGTGAGGGCTGGGGGGTCGGGGCCTTGGCTGGAGAGCACAGAGTGATGGCGGCGGCTCTGGGGGCTCCACTGATGGCCGCCCTGGAAGAGGCCATCGGCCAGCAGAAAGGGCCGCTTGTGGCCAGGGCAGAAACTGCTCAGAGGCACAAGACAAGAGCAAGTTTGAAAAGGGGCAGGTGGCTGGATGCAGGAAGGAGGGAGGGGCTGGGCAGCACGTGGGAGAGGCTGTGGAGGGAAGACATCTCTTGTGCCTGCGTCCAGCCCTCCTGGCCGCAGGGCAAGGCAGAGGAACTGGGAGGCATGTAGCCTCCAAGGAGGGCACAGCCTGCACGAGGAGATGCTCGGGACGCGGGCAGGGTCAGGGCCACCGCTGCCCTTAGGCCCCACTCCTCTGCTGAGGGCACCTGGACAGGGTCAGAGGAGCTGAGTCTGTGTAGCTCTGAACCCACAGCCCACCCCAGGGGCCTGGGAGCCATTCGATTTTGCCAAATGTCTCCGGCTCATGCCGCCCCCACCTGTACCCCCGCCAAAGCCCCGGTTCAGCTCTCTGTTCCGCCGAATCCAAGCTGAGGCATGATTTGCTGTGAATGCGGGTGAGGCTTTGGCAGAAAGCGGTGTGTGGCCCAGGGCACCTCGCATCGCCCGTCGGGGGCCTGAGAGCCACCTGCTCTGCCGCCATCCCAGTCCCGACCCGAGAAAGGACTGGGAGGATGTCCCGGGGCCCGGGGATGAGGACAGGTCAGGATCCGTCCGTGAAACCCTTTTCCCCAGTGCTGGTCCTTCAAGGAGAGGATGGGTAGCGGGTTCCCATCCTCTCCTTGGTAGCGGGGTCATAGGCAGGGGCTGGGCCACTGTGTGAGGGGCGTTTGCCCGGCTTCGTTTCTGAGTCTCAGATTGGAGGCGTTTGCCACCTGGGATGAGGCCAGGTCCCTGCCTGGGCACCCCCACCCCCCCACAGGCCTCAGGATTAATTTCCGGAGTGTATGTCCTCCTGCCTTGGCACTGCTCCGGCCACAGCAGGTGCCCCTGCGCCCTATCTCCCGCACCCTGGCCTCCGGCAGGAATGGGGCGGGAAGGGACAGGCAGGCAGCCCCCTCCTGCAGCAGCTCGAGGCCTTGGGTCTGGGGGCAGCCAGATCACCTGAGCAGCTGGGGCCAGCACAGGGAGTGCTGAGTAAAGGGATCAGGCCGTTCTGAGCTTTCAGGAGGCTCCCACCCCTCAGAGAGCCTCCAGGTGATTGGAGGGGAGGGCCTGGCAGTCAGGGCTCCTGGCCTTCAAGTCTTCCTTCTGGAAGCTTCGTTCTCCCAGCCTCGGCCCCATCTGGTGTAGCAACAAGGGAGCGGGTGTTGACCTTGGGCACAGCCTCCTCTCAGCCTCTGGACCCAGAGGGTCAGTGCCCAGCATCCGCTGACGTCATCTCTTCCCTGCCTGCTTCCAGCTCCGGCCACAGGGAGGGAAGTAGCCGGGTGTGTGGCCACCGAGGTTGCCGGTGGCCACAGACACACCATTCTCTTCCCCTAGATGCGGCTGTCGTGCATTAAAGCTTTATTGCAGGATGTGGTGTTTAAATAAAAGCATTAGTGTTTTGGAATTAGGTTTGACTGAGCAGTAAAACTAGAGAGTTCACAGGGAGAGAGCTGCGGCCTGCTCGGCTGTAAATCACCCCCAGTCTCTGATCCGCTGAATTAAAAATGAGCATCGCACGGGCACCGCCCCTGGCAGCCCGAACCCCGCTCCCCGGCATGTGTGGCCTGACGGTGCTCCCCAGGGATCCTGCTGCTTTCCTAGAGACACTGGGACCCGGGGCTGGAGTCTCCCACGCATGAATCTCCAAAGCTTGGCTCCCGGGCAGCAGCCAGGAAGGGAGCCCCAAACTGGCATGGAGCATGGACATGCTGGCACTTTCGTCCGTGGGGGTCTTTGTGCCTGTCCATTTGAGGGAGGGGAGAGCGGGCAGGGTAGGGGCACGGACCCTCACTGGCTATGTCTTGCCCACAGGGACTCTCCTGAGACCACTTAGGTACGCTACCATGGGGGCCGGGACTCTCAGAGGGAAAGGAGCCTGGACTGGGCTGAAGGGGCTGGACACGGACACCCACCCCCTTGGGACTTGCCTGCCAGCTTGGCAATCCAGGTGGGAATCCAGGTGGGAATCCAGGTGGCCATGAGGAGGCGGACAGTGCCCGTGTCTCCCAATCCCTGGAGCAGGTAGCACCAGGTGTAGGCTCCCGGGTTTCCCAGAACACTCTGGAAACTGCCCCATGGTGATTAGAGGGTGGGCCAGGCTCCTGGTGGTGGAAACAGTCGCGGCAGAAATTGTGGAGCCCATAAATTCAGCGAACCAAATTAGTTACATTTTTCTATCCTACGGCTCACAAAAGCTAGCCACGCTCCAGGTGCTGTTTCCACCCGTGAGTGGGACCAGCTCTGGGTCCTGGAGCTTGTGTGAAGAAGGATGGTCTTTGGGAAGGGACAGCCCCGCTGCTGCCTGCACGCGTGTGTCGCGATGAGTGGTCTTGCATTTCTGCAGCCAGGTGGCCAAGGACATGGTGGCACCCCCTTCTAAAGAGGGAGTCACCGGTGATTCTGGTACTAGTGCATTCATCAAGTGCGATAAAGCATTTTATTGCACAAGCATTCAAAGCAGGCACAGGGGCTGGTGAGAGCATTTGCGAGAGGTGCGTCGGCACTCTCTGTGAAACTGTCGGGCTCACATGAGAAACATTGCATCGAGGAATAAACTGCTATTAAGCATGATTAGATTGACCCACAGGACAGATATTTTAGCTGCCGCAGCCGGAGTCAATCAAAATGAACATCGCTTGAATTGCAAATTTTACCCCCAAAATGCTCTAAAGTAAAACTGAGGGAACCTGAGTGGCCCGAGCCATCTTCAGGACCAGGGTGTGGCTGAGCAGTGCTGGCCTGGAGGGTTTCCAGGCTGGGATGGCCGGAGGTGGACGGGGCAGTGCGATCGCGTGAGTTGCTGCCACCTTCACATAAAGGGTAACCCGGCAATCTGAGAGGCTTTGTGCTGACTCAGCCCCGCCATGCACGTCCGATTGCAGAGGCCTCCCACGCTCTCTGCAGTCCTGCTCCCGCTTTTGTTGCCTCTGGGCAGGACACTGACCTCGGGGTGACTGGGCTTGGGCCCCGGCAAGGGAGGCTCTTGGACAGGAGCACAGGGCTTTGTGAGGGGCCCTGGCCTTGCCCACTGTCCTTGACCAACCAGCAGCCTCTGTCCCTGTGAACTGGAGGCATCGCACCCAGGAAGAGGTGGGCATGGCTTTTGGGAAGGGAAGGCACCCGTGACAGCATTAGCAGCTCCCAGAGCCTCGTGCTGTCCGCTCCTTCCTGAGGTCCAAGGCCCAGCTGGCCAGAGCTTGGGGCTGGGAGGGCCCTCTCCGGAGGCCCCCGGGTGCCCAGGGAGGACTCTGCCTTTGGGGAGGACTCTGCTTTTAGTGTTCAGAGTCCCCAGCCAGCTCTGACCCTGGAAGCCCGTCCTGCTGATGGGGAGGGGCGGTGACTGCAGCAGAGGAGCAGGGCAAGCTGCTGCAGAGCTGCCGCCCAGGACGCTGCAGAGCACCGCAGGCAGCATGCAGGGCTGCGCGTCTCAAGGGCAGGGATCAGAGGGCCACCTCTGACAGCTCCACCGCCGGTCCCTTAGATAGAGGGACGCGGGGCTGAGGTTCCCACACAGTGGTCACCGCAAAGGCGCTGTGAGCTCCACCGATTCACCCGGGTTTCAGAGGCACCACTAAGCCTCAGGCCAGGTCTGCTCCCTGCACCAGGCGGGCTGCCCCCGTGGGGTGCAAGTGTGTGATCTGAAGGACAGTGATGCTGGGGGCACACTGGGCCTCTCAGGCCTCCTGTGTCCACCCCAGGGAGAGAACATGGGGGAGAGAGAGAGCTCTGTTTCAGGAGTGCTGGGTGCAGAGGTCACTGGCTGCTCCCTGGCCAGGAGGGGGTCACCCAGAAGCCCTGGCGGTGGGAGGCTGGGGTCCACTCCTCACAGGGTCGACTCCTTGGCTGGGACTGGAGGCAGGTG